GAAAAAAATCCTCTTACAGGAAGAATCCTCTCTTGTGACACTGACACTGACTCCGTTCTTCTCCTCCCTCCAGACCCCCAGCACCTCCCAGAGCCTCCTCTGGATGGTGAGATCTACTGCTGAGAAAAGTGGCCACCTCTTCCTCATCATCAACCCATCACAGCCGTTGTGACATCTAGAGGAATGTGTTACTGCCAAGTAGTAATACATCCATCTTACATACATAATACTGCAGTGTACTACCAGGCTTTTTGGCAGCATTAAAATCACCTTGGAAGGACTTTTAGTTTGCATCATAATGAAACAGTACACGCAAGAAAAAGACAGAACATGTTTTTTCTTGCATTTTTAAATTAAGTTAGTTTCTGGAAAGTCAAATATTTTAGGCATGCATACTTGCAATACAAACATAGGCAACATGGAATAGTAGTATATTTTACCGTCTCCCTTTCCAAAAACTCCATGGTTACATGACAGAGGATTAATTTCTTCATTTTGAAGAATCATAAATTTGAGATTGAGTATCAAATTGAAAGCATTTCAAAGTCGATTGCCTCACAAGCTCTGCCAAGTATGTCACAGGCTTCACAGCGTCTCTGTTTCTGTTTGTTACAGGCCCAACTAGCCCCCTTTCCAATAGTCCGTCCTGTCATTAAGTTCCACACCAACTGGCTGTTATGTTCATTTACAGAAGCCTTTTCCATGTGACTCAATCCACACGCATACAAGGACACAGACGTCCCCAAAATTCCACTTGGAAACCGATATGACTGTCAACAAGCTCCATGTGGCACTGAAAGCTCCTCACTCCTAATTATCTTCATTGATAATTAATAGAAGGCTGAAACCACAGAGGAAAATGTGTCCCGTGTTTTTAGTGTTTGCTTCAGTGTTTCGTTCCACTTTAAAAGGAAATTGCTGCCTGACATTCCTTTACTCACTATTTGAAAAGCAGATGTAATTACGTCCCACTAATTTTGCCTCCAGTATGTAAGCAAAATGGAATTGGCACGATAACTTCAGTAATCCTCTATAACGACTTTGTGACATTAAATCATGAACCTTGGCTGGGTTTGAATATATTCAAAGTAGCTAAATCTCCATTTTGGAGTGGGACTGTTCGGATGTGCGTGTCTATTTTCCAGACTCAACAGTAAAGAAAGGATTGAGACGTATCTCCCTGTGTCTAATGGCTCAATTCACATCCTTTAGTGTGTTTTAGAGCCTTGGATGGATATTAGCTTGATCCTCACTTTATCTGCCTGTCAATGAGCTTTTATGCAGCCCTCATCTTTCATCTGAGTGATGACGAGCAGGGCTTTCCTTCGTTTTTTAATTGCATGTAACTCTGCAGGTAGCATACTAATGGCTTCTGTCTGTTAAAGAGTACAACTTTCTCTTTTAACCTCCCTCTTTCAGTTCTGATAATAGACTCAGTAGATGGTTTTAGGAAATGGGGGCTGTTAATTTAGCGACAAAGCAGCTGGTTAGAGGAAATGAGAAAGGACATTAATTAAAAAACACCAAATGATGTTATGTGACTAAACTTTAATGACTAAACCTGCTCAGCAGGTATCGCCTGAGTCTCTGATCATTTCAAATTAATCAACACTCATCAGTGTTGTTAAGCACTTTGGTCCTTATATGTTGATGCATTTCTTTTGTTATCAGTGTGAGATATCAATCAAGGAGATCTTTGTATTCTGTGGAACTTTTTAATCGAGGGCACTGACAATGATCCAAAGTGAGATAATGTGTTAAAGGACATAAAAGATGCTGCGGTTCCATTTTATTAGTGTTTAAAATGGTAAAAAAGAAAATTGGGTTGGTAGCTTTTATGTAATGTTTCTAAGGTGACCTGTCTAATTTTTAAGCCTGTGTTTTAGCCCCGCTGAGCCCAAATTAGGGGCCACACAACTACCTGCTGGACAGGTAGGAACTAAAAATAGAGTTGAAGGTAAAAAAAAACAAAAAAAACACACCTTTTCCAGTGAATTACAGAGCAGCGCCACTGAACTGCTTTCTTGCTGCCTCTTTTGTCTCGTCTTTAAGTGCTTGTTTGTTAACTTGCCGTCTGTGTTGAGGATTTGACTTCATGTCCAGGCTGGTTTATTATAGTGTGTCTTCTAAGAGGCTTACAGGCCCGGCCAATTAGTTGCTTCATGTCTTTTGTTTATGGCTTTGGTGTAATCCTGTCAAAGAAACAGAGGAATGGGCTTTTTTCCACCTGTCCCTTTAGGTGTGTTTTGACCACTAGGGAGCACTGCACCTATGACTAAATTAATTCCCAATAACAATAACCAGAAAAGTATGAAACATTTTTTTAATTTCTTCATATCTTCATATATATATATATATATATTATCCCTGCTGTGAGAAATTGACATATTTTTCTCAGCAGGTCATTGGCGTACAGAGATAATGTGATGTGCGTGGGCTCTCACACTCTGTGACATTTTCCCCACGGCATTTGTAATTGACTGAAGAAACAAATAAGTTGTCAGAGATTGTAATTGGTTATTCAGTGAAACCAGTCAGCAGCAGCTTTAATATGAAAAAAGACGGTCTAGCGGTTTGGAGGGAGCGACCGGGCAGAACCACAAACCTCTCTCTGTAAGGGACAATCAGCAGACGCAAGTCAGGAAAATGAACTCCCTCCCCGATGATGATAGGCCTGTCCACAAGACGAGTGTGTCCATCAGGTGAACCCTGCGTAGCCTTAAATCTTAATGATAAAATGCACTAGAGTAGAACCCAGCATCTTCTCAGGAGAAAGAGAGGAGCTTTTATACCTCTGCTTTCAAACGAAGGAAATGTTTGTACTATAAAAGTGGTACAGGATAGTTTAATTCCCAACAATGTAAAAAAGGGCAAATGTAAATATGATTTATGTATAAAACAAATCAAATGTAAAAAATTGTTTTGTTGGTGATCTATTGCAACATTTTGTAAGAATGTTTTATTTATGTCTTATTCTCACCCTTTGGGTGATGTAAAGTCACATTTCTCTCATAATAAAAAAAAAAATCATAATGGACATTTTGATTGTTGGTTGTTTATTTACTGTTATCATTTGTCTCCAATAAATTAAAGACAAACATATTTTAATAAGTGTTGCATTACAATTAGTGCAAAATGGTTATCTGCTCCATGCATGCTCAATCTGATGATTTATTAGCTCTGCTATATATTTTATTCTAACACAAATACTTGCCTATACCTGTGCTCACATCATACGATCTACTGTCAAACATTTTGTTACTAAAACACATCACACATGTTGCAAAGCTCCTCTTCAGGTTGGAATCAATATCTGTTTCAAACATGTTACAATGTTCCAAATGATTAGTGCATGGCACTACTAGGAGGGCCAAGGTCCCCCTTCCTTCATCTCTCTGTGCAGTATGTACAGTAGATCTATACTGGAAAATGACATGGCTCCATGTTTGCTGTGTGGTAACTGATTTAACACAAACCACATAGCTGTAAAATAAAATAGTCATCCTCCTCATTTCTGTTGATTAAAAATAGACTGATTACCTATTTAAGGCATGTTTTCAACTGACTTCACCTGTCCTATAAAATAAAAAGACCAAGAAAGCCCCAAAAATAGTACAAGTTCCACTTACTCTAATTTTGTTTGTAAACTGAAAATATCCTTCGATTGAAATTGTAGGTCAGACAAAAGTAATTGATGAAATCTCTTAAGAAAATTCTGATGAGTATTTTTCATTATTTTCATTCATTAAAATCACTCAGTTCGTTAGTTGTAGCCCAACATGTTTAATTGTCTCACAGCACTGAATCAGCACTTAACAATCATACATTGAATCAGAGGAAATCTGATGTGACAATCAACAGAAAAACACCCATCAATGTCCTAGTGAAAAAGTCCTCATTTAATTACAAATATAGAATACAAAATATATCTTTGCATTAGTACTCCACTCAGTATTTAGTAGATGCACCTGTGTAGACAGGTCTTTATCGTTTTTGCACGAACTTTACAAAACTACTCAAGCTCTGTCAGGTTGCACGTGAATCATAAATGAGTCAAATGCAGCCACAGATTATTTTAAGATCCTTAATAGTAGTTTTATAGTAATAGTTTGTTTTGTTTCGTTTTTTGGAATATTTATGATATAAACACCCATCTTCAAGATAGAGCCATGCATTTAGGTAACAAAGCAGGAGCCATAAACTGCCACACAGTGAACTTGGGGTTTAGGTTGGCCCCTGAGGGGGAGGGGGCTCTCCCATGCAGTTGCTCACTTTCTCCAGTTGGTAATCCAGCCTTGGATTAGTGCAGTTTTACTTTGGCTCCCTCCTCTTTCCTCCGTTCTGTGTTCCAGTCCTAACTACAGCAACAAAAGACCTTTTTTGTGTCTGTTTTGTTCTGAATGCTTTATTACAATAAATAATAAATACAATTATTCTCATTAATCCACTTGTTTTTGTTCCAGAAGCAGTTCAATTGCTACTACTAGATTCTGTTAATGCTTTGATTTCCTGTTTACATTAGCTGTGGTACTGCTGTTTGAGCCCCCCCCCCCCCCCCCCCCGCCAGAGGAAAAAGCTGACAAGGATATTGATGGATTGACAGCAGTGCAGGCACACAGCAGCGTTCCCACCTCCTGATAAATAAAGAGCCAGCTGCTTTAATCTCTCCACGTTGCAGACAGCGGCCTGCTCATCCCTGCAGTCTTTTGCCTCTGGAAATCTCACCTGTGAGCATTTCTTAACATTTATTTTTCTTAACTGCACGATCTTGTACGTCAAGCCAGGTTCATCACATCCCAACTCTTATCCCATTTCTCCCCAGCTCTAACTCATCGATTGAATCGTGGGATCTCTTTGCAGCCCCTTTTTTTAAAACTATTTCTCCATTCTGCTCATTCAACTTAAAAACCCCCAGAGACAAAACATCAGCTGATAAGACCAAACAGAGAGTTGGTAGCCTGATGTGTTAAATTTTGTTTACCGGAGCAAAACAGTGTAGAAGTTATCCTGTCTCTTTTTAGATTATTCCCACCAAATCAAAGTTGTGTAGCAGCAAGTTTGTCGGCGAGATACAGTACAATGGCAGAAAGCGAGATAACCTCATCCACCTCTGGTTGCCATGGTGATGGGCATAGCGAGGCACATGGGATTGCTGTTGCAATACGAAGTGAAGACTGAGAGACAGAGAGGGAGACAGGAAACAAAATTATGACTGTATAATTATTGCAAATTAAAAATCCCATCATATCCTAGAAGAAGAAAAAGAGACGCTGGCAAATAAGCCTGCAAAGCTTGACTAATAATGACAAACAGTTGAGACTTCATACACTCTGATTGATTAATTGTCTGCCATAGATAAGATAAATTTGACATTGTTGAACTAATTATTGTCATATCATGATTGACTAAGTCTGTCTAACTGATAGTTTTAAAGCAGCTGTGAACTGAGCTGCAGTCCTATAGCACTCAACTTCATCAAAACACTTTCCAGTGCATTGATTTATCATAGCAAAAGATGCATTTTTCCTAGAGGTGGTGGCTCTGTAGCTTATTCCACTCACAGTGGCAGACATCGCTCATTAGAAAACCAGGGACTTTTAGTGGAAATGAATCAGAATCATTGGCCAAGTATGTGTACAACAGGAATTTGACTCTCAACGTACTTACACACAGTTCCCAGAACAATTAACTAGAATATAGAAATAGACATTCGGCTACAACCAAGAACAACAAAAGCTGAACAGAGCTGGCACAAGTACACATTCTATACTCAAGTAGACGTTCTGTAAAAAAAAAGACTCCGGTAAAAGTAGAAAGACTGATTCAACATCTTTACTCGATTAAAGTGAAGAAGTACAGCCTCTGAAATGTTTTCAAAGTATAAAAGTAAAAAGTACTCCCTTAGTTTCTCCGAAGGACAAAACTGAAACTTCAAATAGGGGTTGAGTCTCCCTCTCTTGCCTGTTTCGTCTTGTTACATCATTTTTGGCATATTCATGTTATGTCTGTGTGATATGCACTGGTTTTGATGTTGGGAAGGCGTGCAATGATGCAAAAATATAATAATCAGGAATTCCCCCCACATTGATTAAAGTAACAAGAATGTTTTGAAAAGTAGTAGTAGTAGAAAGTAGGGATATTTGTGTGAAAAGGTTGGGTCTAAAAGTAAAAATAAGTACTCAAGTAAAGATACCTGGATAAACGCCTTAAGTACATTCACAAAGTATTTGTACTTTTTTTTGTTTAAACCTGTGTTAACAGATTTTTGGCCACTTGGGGGCAGTGTAAATATGTAATCTTATCACCTTATAATTGCTACCTTGTTAGCAAACAAGACAGACATTGAGCAGAAGAGTAACATTCATTTGGAGTCGTGTTTCCGACCACCTGATGAAATACCTGACTCTTTAGCTGCTAACGTAAACTTTAAGTGCTAACTTTGTGTGTCTGCTACATTGGGGGTTTCTTTACTGAAACATCTGCCTGCTGCACCTGGAAACCACATTGATGAGCGTCTGGGGACTGAACCAAAATATGGTGGGAAATGTGGGTCGCCGCTACAAGCGCCACCTTTCGCATTACACATAATCATTAGTAATTAAGTAAGCAGTAAGCATTATATATTATCAGCTAAATATACTTAAACTGCCAGACTCAAGCAGCATTTAAATGTTGTGCAGCTGGTCTGGGTGGAGCTAACTTTTGAGTATAAATTACTTTATATACTGTTGGATATTTTAGAACAATGTAGCATATTTTACAGATTGTGAATACATTTTTATATATTATATATATATTTGCCTCTGAAATGTGGTACAGTACAGCAGAAATATAAAATACAGTAAAGTGAAAAAAAATGAAGTAGTAAGAAATTGTACAGTACAGTCCTTAAGTAAAGCTGCTCAGCTACTGTCCACTAGAGTTTTGAATCTCTTATATAAACATACAGTATTCTTCCACACTGATATTCTGATAATATTATATAATTGATAAAAAGTTGATAAAAAAGTTAAAAGCATGTTGGTTTTTTTATTTGACATATGTGTCAAATGAATTAGAGTATGTGCAGGTCTGTGTTGGAATAAAGTGGTATATATCAGTAATACCTACCAGTGCCAATTTTTTTGTCCTTTTCCTCTGCTCAAACGTTGGGGAGGGGGTTGGACTACAATAACCCAGCTTCTTTTTCCAGGCATCCTATGGCAAGTTGTTGTCACAGAGTTCCTGCTAAACTTTGGTGTCCAGGGACCTTTTGTTTATTCATCCGAGGTCAAAAAGCACATATAAAAACTTTATACCATTATTTTCATGGTCTGGGATAGGTGCTCTGAGCTGTGACTACACCGCTCCTGTTTGTGACTGCAGACACATAAAAACCTACAAACACACTTTCCTGGTTTTATGACATGCCTTCAGTTTTTGTTGCTGAAATAAAAAGAACAGAAAAGAGAAATCCATCTCTATTTTTGTCAGTAGTGATTGAGAAACATTTTAATAGAGTATTTTTTACTATTATTGGCTTAGGTCAGTGCAAAAAATATGCAGGTATTTTCTATAATAAAGTAGGAAAACTTTCTGAGCTATTCTTCTGGAATAGCTTAATATCCTGAATTAAAAAATAAAAAACTTCTTTAACCTGCAAAAGGTTGTCATGTGTAGACCTCAGGTATGCAGTGGCTTCAGTCTCTTCATGACCCTGAATAGGAATAAGAGTTTACAACATGAATAATGAATAATAGTTGCTGAGTACGCTCCTTCACCTCACACATTGGTTCCTTTTTAGGAGGCATGAGATAAAAAGTTCAAGAACAAAGAGCAGTAGTTGAGGATCAGCAGCCGAGCCCATATAAAATAACTGTGACACACACCCGCAGTGAACTGGAGTACATTCTCCCAGTGGATATTTACAGAATGCTGAGTAGATATTATTCCAGTCCTCCTAGAGGTTTAAGGGAAATCACGGCTGAGAGCAGTATCTGTACCACAGTGCGGAGAGCGCTTATGGCTGCAGCGGGGACGGAGGGCGGGGAGAGACGG